TGGTTTCTACTAGTGAAAAAAATAGTATATTAACCACGGTTGTAAAACCAGTTCTAGACCTCGCGCTTTAGAGCCCTCGACGCTGCCCGTTTCGGGTTCTAATTTGCGTTCGGTCCAAAATGTTTGGCTTTACAACCTTGGCTAATAATATACTATTTTTATTATTTCAATTTCAATTTTACAATTTTTCGTTTCTTCAATTTTCAAATTTGTAGTTTTTCTAATTTTCATTTTTATTTTGTTTTGTTCAGTTTTACGAAAAGCGTTTCTTCGAGTTTTCATTTTTAAATGTTTTAGTTTCCGATTTTCGACTTTTCCTTGTTTCAAATTCTTGATCTTAAAATTTTTCAATTTGCGGTTTCACGAGTTTTCAATTTTTTATTTTTCGATTGTTAGATTTTCATTTTTTCATTTATTCAATTCTTCGTTTCGGTTTTTTACTTTGTTTTTTTTTTAATTTTTCGGTTTTACAATGTTGCGAGTTTCAATTTTTTTTATGTGAAATTTTCCTTTTCTTCAATTTTTCGATTTGCGATTTTTCAATTTTTTATTTTTCTAGTTTCCGCAATTCTTCGATTTGCAATTTTTTGTATCGGTTTTTATTCACTGTATTTTAAGAGTTTTTCGATTTTTTAATGTTTCGATTGTTTATTTTTTGTTATCAATTTCAATTTTTCAATTTTTCAATTTTTCATTTCTTCAATTTTTCAATTTGTAATTTTTCGTTAAGGTTTTTTGCTTTCTTTTTCTTCAATTTTAAAATTTTTCATTTTCTGATTTTTCATCTTCCGTTTTTCCAATTTTTGCTTCTTCAATTTCTTAATTTTTCAGTTTTTCCTTTCTTCAATTTTTGATTTGCAATTTTTCTAATTTTCATTTTAATTATGTATGTAATAATTATTAGCTTCAAAAATTTTCGCTTTTTCAAATTTACGATTTTATATTTTTCAATTTTTCTGTTATTGGATTTCAAAAACTTTTTCACTTCTTCAATTTTTCAATTTTTGGATTTTTAATTTTTCAATTTCCCTATATTTCATTTTTCAGTTTTTCAATCCTTCAATGTTACAGTTTTTCTACTTTACAATTTTGAGATTTTGACGATTCTATAAATTGTTCAATTTTAAAATTTTTGAGTTTTTCAATTTTTCAATTCGATTCGTTTTCTCTTCTTTCCAATTATTCGATTTACTAATTTTTTCGATTTTTAGTTGTTAAAGTTTCGATGTTTCGTTTCTTCAGTTCTTCAATTAGTAATTTTGCGGTTTTCCAGTTTTTCGATGTTGCAGTTTTTCGCTTTTTTAGTTTTTCAATTTTTCAATTTTTTCCGATATTTTAGTTTCTCGATATTAATTTTTCGATTTATCAATTTTTCGCATTTTTAACTTTTCGGACCAAAAAATAGAAAAATTGAAAAACTATGGAATTGAAAAAACGAAAAACATAAAATGAAAATTGTGAAAACTCCAAAAAGTGGAAATCAAGAACTTAACTAGTTGAAGAAACGAAAAATTGAAAAATCGAAAGATTAAACATTGAAAAATTTTAAAACTGAGAAACCCAAAAATTGAAAAAACGAAATATTATAAGATCGAAATAGTGAAAATTAGGGAAATCGAAAAATTGAATAACTGAGTAATCCAAAAATTGCAAAATTGAAGAATCTAAAAATTGGAAATCGAGGAATTTGAAAAATCAAGGACTAAAAATTTGAAGAAATGAATAAACGAAAAGTCATAAAATCGAACGAAACATTGAAAACTAAAAGAAATGAAAAAATGAAAAATTCTAGCATAAAGTTAAGAAAATGAAAATTAAAAAATGGGAAATAAGAGGAATAAAAATCAAGAACTTAAAAAATTGAGGAAAAAAATTGAAAAATCGAAAAATTAAAAACTGAGAGACTGAAAAATCGAAAAATGAAAAACTGGAAAAATTCCAAATCGCTAACTGAAAAAATTAGTGTTGCAGGATAGAAAAATTTTTAACATTGAAAAATGAAAGAAAATGAAAAAATATAGTATGAAAACTTTGATAACTCTACAAAGTGGAAATCAAGAACTTAAGAAACTGAAGGAACAAAATATTGAAAAATCGAATGATTAAACAATGCAAAACTTAAAAACTGAGAAACTGCAAAATCGAAAAAACGAAATATTGTAAAGCCGAAATAGTGAAAATTAAAGAAATCGAAAAATCAGATAATCCAGTAATCCAAAAATTGTTAAATTGAAAAATTTTATAATTGGAAACCAAAAACTGAAAATTTGAAGAATCGAAGAAACGAAAAATTATAAAATCGAAAGAAACTTTGAAAAAATAAAACAGATGAAAAAAATGAAAAATTGTGATATATAGCCGAGAAAATGAGGAATAAAAATCAAAAAGCTAAAGAACTGAGGAAGCGAAAAATTGAGAAATCGAAAAATTAAAAATTGAGAAATTAAAAATGCAAGAATGAAAAACTGTGGAAACGAAAAATTGCAAAATTGAAAAATTCCAAATAAAATTGAAAAAAACAAAAAATTAAAAAAATTAGTCTTGCAAAAACGAAAAATTATGGAACAGAAACATTAAAAAATGAAAGAGAATGAAAAAGTATAAAATGAAAACTTTGAAAATTCTAAAAAGTAGAAATCAAGAACTAAAAAAATTGAAAAATCGAAAAATTAAAAATTGAAAAACTTAAAAATTGAGAAGCTGCAAAGTCGAAAAAGTAAAATATTGTAAAGTCGAAATATTGAAAATTAAAGAATTCTGGAAATCGGATAATTGAGTAATCAGAAAGTTGCAAAATTGAAAAATTTAAAAATTGGAAAATCGAGGAATTGAAAAATTAGGACTGAAGTCCTAAAAAATTGAAGAAACGAAAAATTACAAAATCGGAAGAAACATTGAAAAAATAAAAGAAACAATAAAATGAAAAAATTGAAAAAATGAGAATTAAAAAATCGAGAAAATCAGGAATAAAAATGAAAAACTTAAAAAATTGAAGGAACGAAAAATTGCGATATTAAAAAACTGGTCAAAGGTAAATAAATCCAGATTTCGTGAAAAATTATAAAATTCGATTTTGGGAATTTTATTTACGTATGTAATGTTAAAACAAATGTAAAGAAACGCGCTATGCGTTTGTTTCAAATGAGTTTTTCCAAGGAAGCATTGAAAAAGTAAAGGAAATGAAAAAACGATAAATTGTAATATGAATTCGAGAAAATGAAAATTAAAAAAATCCTGAACATAAAAAATTAAAGTCAAGAACTTGAAAAATTAAGGAAACAGAAAATTGAAAAATCCAAAAATTGCCAAATTAAAACCTTGCAAATCGAAAAATTCTGAAACCGAAACATTGAAAAATGAGAAAATTGAGAAAAAAATTGTGATATCAAAATATTGTAGAATCGAGGAAAAAGGAGACACGAAAGGTGTAATACTTGAATTGATTTAATCAATACAATAACCTGCGTCATTCATTAATTTTTCTGAGTCACCCGGTATAAGTAATTCTAAAAAGTATGAGTGCATTGAACCACAAGTATACAATATTTTGCATATTTCAGAGAGTATTTATTTGGCAAAATTTTGAAATGAGTCATCAATTTTTTGGGAGAAAATAAACGAATAAATTTGGTTAACGATTTATCATGTTTCCTATAACGTTCAAACGTTTGCAAGAATTCAGAACATTTATACACCATAAATGCAGGAGCATCTTGTTTTATAAAAATTAAAACAAATTTACTATTGCAGCTAGTTTCTGATTGGCGTTTTACTATCTGATATTACTAATATACTTACACAAAAAATTTGACAACCAACGAAGATTGTCCATCAAAATCCGGACACACAGCAGACGGACAGACAGACAGACAGGCAGACAGACAGACGGACAGGTAGAAAGTCGGAAACGGGAGACCTATTTCTTAGTACTCTCGGTAAGTAAAAAACGAAGAACTGTACGATATATTACCCCCGAAATTTATTTACAGCCTTCAACACATGCACTTGCATAATTGTTTTAATTATAACTTTAACCCCAGTGTTTAGCACAACTTCACAACTTCAGTCTTACTTTTAATGAAATGCTACATTATGCACATTTTCTACAAACTGCTAGTCGTGACGTAACTTATAACGCAGTTTAGAACATTTTGTTGTTCCGCCTGAACTTATACTCTCGCGAGTTCAAAATTCAAGCTAGATATATGGTCGTTTTTCGTGCAAAATCATGAATATTGCGTTGTAATTAAGAGCACAGTTTGCGCCATGTTGCGTTACTTATGTGAAGGTAGAGACAAATTATTAAACTAAATAGTCATTGTTCGTACCCGTAATGCATACATATACCACAGATAACTGTTCTATCTGTAATTGCAGCATACCTAGTCTCGCTTTTACATGATAGGTCTCACATGACGTGTGCTAAAAGCCATTATCTCTGACGGCATTTATTGCTTTGTCATCAAAAGCTTCCAATTTCCTTTTTTTTTGGGGAGCGTGTTTGTAGTTCTGGTAGCATTGGAGAGATATTTTTGCTTTTTTTAACTTTGTAGCTAACACTAGTGGGAGCGATGTACCTTATTAAGAAGATTTTTAAAACATTAGTTTCAGTATATATTCGGTTTACCGAACAGATGGAGTTGTAAAAAATTACTCCTAGTTAGTATTCACAGTATAATAACCATTTTCATGCAGTTTGTTTTACTTCAGTTTAATTTCTTCATACATAACTCTATAAATCCTGCAACTCGTAGACCTGCCAACTCCACTATTATTATTTATGTGCTGGTAAACTCCGTTCCTCAGCGAGCATATTATCTCTTAAGGCATCAGACGTGCTTAAAATGAGTTGTGTAGGTTTCCGCAGCCTCGATCTTGATTCGAACAAATAAAACTCATGGTCGGAAGCGATTAGAGTCTCATGGCGTCAGTTTACTTAAGCAGCCACTTAGATCGCCCAATAAATACCAATTTGTTCAGCTGATCCATGATTGTTTCAGAGCTCTTACACCGAGTCATCTTGTTAAGTGGCTCGGGACTCAGTCCCTGGGCGCTGCAAAGAGATCCGATTTCGGTCAAACGCAGCGTTGCTGAACACACCAACTGTCATGGCGACCTGTACGAAGACGATCTGGCGCCGTGTCTGCGGAAGAAGCCGTTGGATGAATTGCTCAAAATTAGGATAGATACGCCGAGGTTTCTGCCTGGTAGGTATTTACAGCGGGAAAATTGGCGGTTTTCTGGTGAGGAGCTAACGAATGATCGACGTGTTTAAAAGTTCCGAAATTTTAAAAATTGTTCGTTCCGCTTACAAAACCCTTAAGGAATAATTTTATATGGGAGAATTCGCGGAAGTCTTGTCAGTTATCACAAATCTACCGATTTCTGAAGAAGTCGATACATGAATCTTACACAAATTATCGTAAAGTTGTCATTATCATATTAAATAGAATAATTTTTTGAATTTTCATAATTTTGAAGGTGAGCTTTTTTGTTTATTATCACGTAATACTTATTTCAAAAAATATGAAAAAGTTTGTAGTTTTTTTATTCTTAAAAATATTAAATTCGATCAGCGACAAAGTTGTAGAATATAGTCTAAAATAATTTTTGTAATGAAGAAATATTGGACACCGGTTTGAGGTACGACTCGCTTTCAAACATACTTAATTGGAAAAAAATTGTTATTGATTGGCGCCATTGTTCAAAAGTAATTTCAGAATAGTAAATATTATTTTGTCGCATATTAATTTTAAAATTTCCAGTATTAAAAAAAAATGTAAATTACCAAAGATTTTTGGAGTTTTAACTCCTTTCTTTTCGTATTATAGAACACATATACGACGCGCGCTGGAATAGGATGTCGACACCGACACCGACACCAGTCTGAACAAATGTAATCATGGCGCGCTGGATCACCGGGACTCAGTGGCGGGTGATAATCACTGAATTTAATCGTCACTTATTCCATGAATACAATTAACGCAAACGTAATTAGTAAAACGGCTAAGTAAATGAGAACGGGAATTAACAGGAGAGTGCAACGACGCAACGTTATTCTATTCTCAAATAAACGAAATTCAACCCGTAACTGCAATGAATTCGTATCCTGTATGAGCCGTATCGAGTTTGACCTTACCTAACCCGACGGCTATCCGCTGTCTATTATTATAATAATTAATTATGATATTTCTATATCATAAATAAACAAAAAAGTGTATTCTATAATAACCAGTAATTGACAATACATGGATATTTACTTTAATTAACCCGATCATCACCATTAATCATCACTTTGTCAAAAAATTCAAATGCAACATATTTTCAAGAGAAAATTAATGACTTCGCCGCGTATACGTGTTAAATTTATATAAATTGACAATGTAGAGTTAAAACTCCATCCGTGCGTCAAAAATCTAAGGCAAAGCTTTACGTAAATTCTAAAATATGATGCGAAAAATAGCAAAAAAATGAAAATTTGGAAATATGAAAATTTTGGAAAAAATCGAATTACAATGAAATTTAAAGATATAAAATTCGCATTTTAACACTAGTGGATGCGGAAAGATTTTCCAGATTTACGTACCGACTCTTAAGTTGTGTCGTTAAAATGTCATTTTTATTTAAAAAAAGAACAATTAATAAAATGTGAAAAAGACGTTCTTTGCCACAAAATTTGGAAACTTACAACTTCCACAGGATAATAAAATGTTTGAGAATTTTATTTTTGTATCGATATAGAAAAATTTGGAATTTTGCCAATTTGACACTGGTTTCATCCTGTTTAAAATTGTCAGATTGTCCCTCGAGGGAACAATTTGTGATTCGTTACCACACTGTATGTTCGGATATTTTCTTATTTTGCTATTTTGTTGATTCATTGTATTTTATTGAAATTTGGGTAGCCGAGAAAATCCTCATTTGGAGACAGAGCGTCTGTGGAAACATTCCTTAGTCTAAGGACCAGGAGGTCAGTCGATAAACGACCCCAATAATATAATCAGGTCAGATGTTTTTAATTCATTTCCGCCCCCACTTCCTCTCGTCGTTTTTGCGGGAAATCGAAGATCTCATATTGTGTTCTCCTTTCGAAAAGGTTAATTTTGTGAGTTTGATATGACTCTTAATTGTTTCTAGTTTGCTGTTTTATGAGATTCCGTGCATACCGAATTAATTAACATAAAGTGACAACTAATACCGAGTCACTATGAATGATTAAGATTTTTTTTTGCCAAGTTGGCAACCTATTTAAACTTTTATTATGGCATATCTGATTGTCAAACTGACATTTGTGACAGCTGCCATCGTCTGAATCAATCAACATGTTTGCTAGGTGTGCTCATATCAAAAACTGTGAACTGACGTACTAGCAAAGATGCCAATAATTCAGAATTGCCAACACAAAAACTTGCTTCAATCATTAATAGCCACCCGCTATTTCTTGACAATTCTGCACTGATCTTTTTTTTTGAAAGATTAATTCATATTAAAATTCGTTATTGTCGTTTTTATAATAAATTAAAAAAATTGGTTTAAGGAGTTTAGACAGTACTTCCCTCGCTGTTGGAAACGTGATGACTGCATGCCTATTATGTTTTTTTCGCATTACATTTTATAGCGGGGCATTTTAAAATAAATTGACTATTAATTTTCTCAATTTTGTCATTATTTGGCGTTGACATCTTTTTTTCTGTGATTGCTATGATTGCTTATTAAAAAAAATTTAAATTGGACGAAGTCGTATTTGGGGTGTATAATATGTTGCCTATGCAAAAATTGTGAGGCGTGTACAGATAAAATGAACACCCTGTATAGTGCTTGTTTATTGCTCTAACTTCCGTTTATTGAATAAAACACTACATTTTATTTGGTTTTTGGATGCTGTAATTCACATTTGGTTAATTATAACTTTTGTAGATCTAGGGGAGCATCCCCTAGCCTCTCCCTAGCTACGGCCTTATGAAATATCGAGAAAATTTGAACGTACCAAATTGACCAATGGACTCCATTACTGAACGTCCTTAGGTTATCCTCGATAAAAAAAAACAACATGCAAGTGTTTATGTTTATACATCGGAAGAACGTCACGTAGAAATTAGTTTGATTTGAATGAGTTCGTCCTCCCAAAACAGAGGATCAAAACAATAAACTAGTAATTAACAAATCAACAAAATGTTGTGAATATCATTATTATAATTTTTATTAAATAAAGACGTTTGTATTTTCACATTTTCGGGAAAACGGGGTGACTCGTTCTTAATTTGATCAATAAAAAATATGAATGCTATGATGAATCACAAGTAAAAACTCATGACGCACATTTTAGATAAAATTTATTTGGCAAAATTTTGAGACGTCATAAATTTTTTGAAGGAAATCAACAGATTTAGTTTGATTAACAATTTACCATGCTTACAATGACTTTAAAACGTCTGCAAGATTTCAGAGTATTCAGTTTTGCAATTCTTGATTTAATCAATAAAATATATTGACACAGTCATTAATTTTTTTCAGACACTCCGTATAAGCAAATCTAAAAAATATTAATGCAGTGATAAATCACAAGTATGAACACGTTATTCTTTACACAATTCAGATGGCACATTTTTTTCAAACATACATGTTGATCAAAAATTTTCCATGGCTATTATAACTTTCTTTACAACATCTCCAAGACTTCAAAGCACCCTGCATATGCAAATCCAAAAAATATGAATGAAATGATAAATCACAACTACAGACTTATCATATTTTGTACATTTTAGATAGGATTTATTCCGCAAACTTTGGAGCTGACGTCATCAATTTTTTGGAAGGGATAAGTAAATATATTCTGATTAAAATTTGATCATGCTTATCATGACTGTAAACCATCTGCAAGATTTCAAAGCATTCGGTTTTTCAAATTCCAAATTAAATGTCAAAATGTTTGTTCCTAACTTTGATTTTTTTTCCAAAAATCTGGACGTTTCGGGTAAAATCTCAATTCGGAGTCATAAACTACATGTGTAAGACTAAGTTATTTGATACAATTTAAAACCCAATTACCATGTACAATTTTGAAGCGATGTCATCACATTAGTGGTGGGGATCATTGGACAAATTTTGGTTAGCGTTTACCATTTACATGATATACCTAATATAAATACAAAATTTAAGAACAATCGGCCCAGTACTTTCGGAGATTATCTGTCTAATAAAAATCCGGGACGGCAGACAGACGGACAGACAGACGCACGGACAGACAGACGGACAGACGGACAGACGGACAGATGGAAACGGGAAGTAAAAAAAAAATGTACGCGTCGAAGATGTGATTTAAACATTTAGTTAGTATTTCTTTGGTATATTGACTATAAGGCTGAATTTTCAACCTATATATGAAAAAAGCTTTTTATTTATTAACCAGAAACTTAAACCTTGCACAAGGCGCGGGGAAAATGGACTACTTAGATGGATCAAGTGGTCAGGTCAAGTCAGGTCAGGTCAGGTCAGGTCAGGTCTGGTCAGATCAGGTCAGGTCAGAGAAAATAATGCTGTTTATAATACCTGACAAAGAACAACCGAGGCGAAAGAATGCCTGTTCTAAAACAAGGCAAATGCTCGACAAAAATTGATAGGGGTTCTAAGACGAGTCAAAATAATTGAAAAGAGTGATGATGTCATAAGACAGGTCAAAATAGTCGTCGGAAAATGATGCCGTTTCTAACTCATGTCAATGATCTGTATACAGAAAATGATACCGGTTCTGATTCAGGTCAAATGAGGTCAAAGTGAGTCAAAAACTGCATCATATAACTACTCAGGTTTTTGAAATAGGCATATGTACGCCGAAATACTGTCCATGTTTAAAAAGTTTGCTGCAACAAAATCTGTAATTATCATCCCATATCGATTTTGTGTAACTCTTCTAAGATTCTTGAGTATAAAATTTATCAACCACTTTATTTTATTTTCAAACCAAAAATCAATTATCAACCCACCATCAACATGAGTTTGTGACTGGGCGATCCCCATGGACTAATTAACTTGTATGATGCAGAGCACGTTTAAAACTTTATATACCAAATTCAGCTTTATATCATTTAGGTATACTAACCTGAGGAAATCTTTTGATAGAATAAATCGTCAAACATTACGTAATAAATGATCTAACTTTGGGTTTTCTTCTTTTTTAATTCTATTTGTCGCATATCTCTTTCAACGATCCAATTTCGTTCACAACAATGGCTTCACTACATATCAGGTGTACCACAGGGTTTGACGTTAGGATCTTTGTTGTTTTTTCTTTATATCAACGATGGTGTAGGCTCTCTTAAACACTCCCAAGTCCTCACGTTTGGGTATGATATCAATGGCAATTATCCTCTTCTAAATGATTATTTTGTTTCCATAGGCTGGGACAAATGCTTTGAAGGCCTTGGATTAGACGAAATGGCAGTAGTCTTCTATGAAATTTTAAGTGTCGGTATGGAATCTAAGTAGTTCAACTCAGAATTGAAAACTCTGTGTCACAAGAAAATTAAAATTAAACAATTTGGAAACCCACAGGATTATTTTTATTTTAAGAGTCTAAGATCTAATTGTAAGAAACTGTCTAAAGATCTTTACGAATTTTATGTAGGAGAGTTAATCCTTCTATTATCAGCAATCGTAAATTTTTTTGGACATTTGTTCATGAGAGGAAGGCCAGTATCAATAGTTTTCCAAGCGAGATGTCTTATTTAAAATGAAGCGTGACTGGAGACAAATGAATTCGAACTCGATGCTATCTCTTTTCTTAACAATTCTCCTATCACAGGTCGTGATGGCTTGAGCAACTTATTTTTAAAGAAGTGTGTATGCTATCTGTGCCATTCTTTCATTCCAACATCGGTAAGTTTTCCGAAATCTGGAAACTGAGTTGTATCAAACCTCTTTTAAAAATGGTCATCGCAAAGAAGTAACAAATTACCAAGTTGTTTGTGATCAGTCAAGTGTTCCTAAAATCTTTTGAGTCCATTACTGCAAAGCAACTCCAATGGAGATTCACAAATCAACAGCCCGGTTTTTGCAAAAACAAGTCAACTTTGTCTAACCTCTTGGATTATCATTCGTTTCTCAACGAGTCCTTTACAAAGAGAGCCCAAATTCTATTCATACTGATTTTGCGAAAGCGTTTGATCGAGTAGATCACAATGTACTGATTTGGAAAGTGCATAAACTTGGTTTCAGACAGTCCGCAATTGATTGGTAGACTTCATTTCTAACAAACAGATGAAAACAGGTTAACATTGGCAACTATCTTTCCAATCCTTGTAAAGTTACATCCCATTGTGGCCCAATTTTATTTTTTACCTTAAGTCATTCCTTTAAATTTTCCAAGTTCATTTTTTACGCCGATGATCTCGAGATTTTGAAAGTCATTATATCTGTAAAAGATTGCCAAGAATTAAAAACAGACTTAAATATGTGTAATGTTTTTCATTGGTGTAAATTAAATTTTTTAAGTCTGAATTTAGATAAGTGTTTTGTTATGGTGATTTTATGATTATATTTGTTTGAATATATATATTTAATACTGTTTTTACTTGCCTTTTTGAGCCTGTTTTTCCTTTAAGCTTTTGCTCAAGGCAAACAAAAGGCAAATATTGTGTCTTTTACTTAGAAACTATGAAACTCAAGTAACTTTGCAGACGAATTAGAATTACAAGTTTTTTGTCTAAAATTATCTTCCTTTATAATGCTTTTGATGAACTATGGGTTGATTAAATTGTGTGTGAAAGGAACAATCACTTTATAAATTATTTTAGGAGATATTAAAGCTTTTATCGAATTGACCAGCTAAAATTTATTTTAAAAACAAACTTAAATTTTCTTAAATCTTGTATGGTAAGAAGCTTCCTATACTAAAAATTACTATTATCTTTGCAGGTCACAAAATCGTACTTTCATAAAATGTTAAAATAACAAAAATAAACCAAAATCTTCCTCAATACAAACCTCCAAACGCAAATAAATTACATTTACCATCAAGGGACTGACAACAAAGGACTGATGAATTCCGTGTGAAACGAAGACACAGTTTTATTTGATTTTCATACAATTAACGTCACACAAAATACATTAAAATAAAAGCTTATCTAAAACAAACGCGTGCTCTCAACATAACCACCCCAATAGCAGTGAACACAAAAGGGTTGACTCGCAAGAAACGACATGTGCCGCTAACTTCAAGTAATTGTTTTATGTCTAACGGATTAATAGGGTTTAAATCTTGAAAAACCGCGAATTTTTAAATTACATACACTGATTTGACTGATGGCCGATGATGTGTACGCTATTTTAATTAGAAAAATATTGTTATTTACCTAAATTTAAATTTTGTTGATTGTTAACACTTCATAGAATGTAAAACTATTAGTTTAAAAAATATCATGATGAAATATCTAAAAATCACAATCATGTTTTGAACCCTAGCGACAATTTAAGATGCAACGATATACTTGCTTTTTTAATTAAATATTTTTCTGAGTCGCTTGATTTTATTACTGGAACCTTTGACGTGTTACAACTGTTATTCAAACTTTTTGCTAAATGTGTAGACGAATAATAAAAAAAACTGTCCACAATGCACCGACAGTATTGATTCTAAAATTCAATTTGTTCCTAAAATGAAAACCGTATCGGAACCATTCAACAATACCTGAAGTATTTACTTTACAAAGAGCATTTTTTTTTATCTAACAAGGGGAGCGACAGCAATAAGAAAATTCTTCTTTGAAAGATTATTTATGATAGTAACATTCACAATTTTGTAAAATTTTAGGATTATAATACGTTTGAAAAAAAAAATTCAGATAAAAATACCACAAATGTGTGGGCTGCATGGAACTGTACACATTTCTTGTTTGTCGGCCCCTTATCCTCATGTTTATGCCTCAAAAGCCGCAAATATTTGTTCCCAATACGTTTTGCCTTTGCTGAAAAATGTATTTTCCTCCTCACGCCCGAAACCTGTTAAGTTTTAATAAACTCGAAACAATCTCTTTCAAAACAATTCCCCAAAAAGAACAAATCGCGTTTTAATGAAAACCGTTTGGCTTGGAATGGAATTTTTACAGCCACTTCGAAAACAAATATTGTCATTTATTTTCAATTGAAATCTCTCATGGATTAACTACATAAAAGGGCAATTAACTTTTGCAGTTTCGTTTTTCACACGAACAAAACTTTTACTCGCGCAAACAAAATAATCACATAAGTTATCCACTCGTGCTTTTTGCTTAATTTGCATTTCAGCTTTTGTGCAAGCTAGATAAATTTCCGAAATTATCCACACAAGTAATAAATTTGTTTTATCACGTATATGAGGGCTTCCCCTTGAATTCGTGAAGAACTTCAACTGCATCCGGCATTGCTGTTATAACAGAATATGGGGATATTGACTTTGTTTGGTTGCAGACTTGGTAATGGCGTATTACAAACTTTGATTCCATTATGTATGTTGCTGTTTAACTTACTACCTAAATAGTGAAAGATAATATACGCTCTCATTTACATTCTGTTTAATTTAACGGCAGTTGGAGCCCGCTCAAATCGATAACTGTGCAGAAAGACATTCGAATCTTATTACATATTGAATAAAAGCTCGGAACGTTCAAGTACGTCGAAGCACTGCTTAAATTTCAAGCTTTTTGCGTCCCTAAGCGGTGCATCAGAACTATTCGTACAGGTTTTTGTAAATTTTACTCGTGTTTCTGTCACTGTCAGTGCAATTTAAAAATAAATAAAACTCATGAAACGTCACTTTAAAGTGTATTGATCCCTTGAAATCAATACAAAGCTTTTAAAATAATGTGCGGTGTATGACGTGAAGTAGTTAAATGCTCAGTCGTGTAATGACAATAGTTTTCAAGGTAGAAACTTTCTTGTTCAGGAGTTGCAATCGACAGAATGGGCTGATGGTGAAGTCATTAATTTTTTACAATTTTTATGTTCGAATTTGTGACATACTAAGTGAATTAAAGCTGAAATAAAATCTTTACCCAACTTACAAAAATGTATGACATGAACTAACTCAAAGCTCATCTAAAGTTGACACCGTTAAACTTATATTAGAGTTTGGTTCGACTTTTCTCGGGCCGGTATTAAATTTGAACTTGATTTTCTCTTTTTACTGAGTAATAATCTCGGGCTTTAGATCTTTACAAATAAAAAACTAACAAAAAATTTAAATTAAGTTCAAAATCTAAAGTAAAATTAACGCAGGTTTCTAAGTTATATCAGACAATTTTATAACATCTTAAAGGAAGAGTAATGGGAAATTCTTGTTTTTTCTGAACTTGTTCTTTGCTTAACAAATATCAGAAGGATTTAATTTTTAATTAATTTAAAAGTATTCCTCTTGTATATCAAAAATTATTTACGATTTTTTTCTTGCCAGGTTTCGCCCCTTTCATCGATGGCACCATCCTAGTGAACCCCACCAGCGCCCCTCCGGCCGGAAGCACCTCGACAGTGGCTACGTCCGCCGGCTACGAGCTGGCCGATTTTTCGGGGCGCGACCTTTTGTTTGGTTTAACGACAACGGAATCGTATTTAGACTTGAACGCGCAAGATCTCGAGTTCGGGTTTAACGAAACGAGGCGTGACAGAATTTTAAGGACATACGTGAGGAACTCTTATTATTACCACTTGAACGAGATATTTTCGACCCTCAAAAACGAATACACCGACTGGGAGAGGCCTACTCAGAATCCGCTCAGCGTGAGGGATGCCACCCTAGACGTCCTTAGCGACGGGCACACCGCCGCCCCGCTCATCAGGGTGGGGTACCTGCACTCGATGCGCGGCGGAAAGACGTTTTTTCTCCACTTCCAGCACCAAACGGGGGACAGGGATTTTCCGATGGTATGTACTAGCTTATTAAGACGAAGAAAGTGTTGTTTTCACAATTTTACTGGGTTCTCGAGGTTTTAAATGTTAATTGTGCGACGTCTTCTCATCCGAACACTCTTTATTTCACTAGGTAGTAAAGCGACGTACTCTTCCACACACAAGTTTTAAAGTGATCATGTCTTTCTCATTATTTAGTTGTCACCAGAGGTCGCCCCAACTTGTCAATTGTTATTAAACCTAAAATAAATTAATCTGCAACAATATTCCAAGGGCATAGCATCGCATTTTACAGGTTGAGGGAACCTCTGGTGACAAACAGGAGATGAAATCGTAGTTCAGAGGATGTGATCATTTTAAAAATTGTTCGTGGACTCGAGTACATAGCGTTACTACCTAGTTACATAAAGAAGAAGTGTTCGGATGAGAAGACGCCGCACAATTAAATTATCAGATGAGTATTTGAGAACGCAGTAAAATGTGAAACTACTTGGCTTAAAATATGTCTCAATTCTTCCCCAACATTGACTCTAGTTCGCACCATTATAGCTACAGTGGACACCCCTGTTTTTGATGGGACAACCTAAAGCGGTCTTTTCCTTAAAATAACGACATTGGCTGGCGTCGTAAAGCGTCCGTAAATATGAGTGTTTATGATGGACGGCTAGCTGTTTGAATAAACATAAATTCTGGACGCTGCGTTTAGAGTTTATTCTATACGTAAATCATGTAAGGACTTCATCCTGGCAATATAGCCACGTTTGTAAATATATGGCCATAATTCATCTAGAACTTTCTCATTTATTGATGGACGCGAATTGGTAATGCTGCAGATGAAAGCGTTTCAATCATCTCATAACCAGAGGCGAATCTATAATAAATTGATTACGTAGGTGCTTCTCCGGGGCATCTGAAAGCTTTGAAAAATGTATAATCTCATCTAATGGGTGTAGGAAGCAAAGTTTTTGTTTTAATGTTGTGTAGACTTAACGAGAGAGGTTTGTGTTTACCTAAATTTTTAAATGTCAAAGCCATAAAGAGAACTTTTGTTTAAAATTTATGTTTACATGGTTATGATGTTCATGAGGTGTAAATTATGGGAGTTCGTAAAATAGTCGTTTGTGTCAATAATGTAAAATTTAGTAGCAGTTTGCAAAAGTTAGAAAATATTTATCGTCGTAAAAATGTCAGAGTTTTCTTATGTTTAATGTACATGCGAAGCAGACCGAGACGAGTTTTCAGTTTCTCACTAAAATTTCGTTCTAGCTTAGTTTGTATACCGTTTTACAACACTTTGCCAAAATTAAAAGAATTAATTCTGTTGAACAATATGAAATTCAGGCTAGATTATTTAGCAAAATTTTGAAATTACGTCATCAAATTATTGGTTGGGGACGAGTTTCAGGCGTCCTCTGTGCACGATATTTAATCTATTTATGTTTTTCGTTTAAGCCTCATTTAGTGCCACAACACTTCCCATATTTAATCAATTTATCTCTGTTCTTCAGTGCCCTTGCTTGTTAAAAGCTCAAAAGCTTGTTAACTGAAACTTGCAAAGTATTTAGATAATCACTTTCTCCTCCCCAATTATTATCTACTATACACCACTTTTTGCCGACGAAACCTCTGACGAACTTTACCCATAGGTATTCCAAAAATGTCAGAACAACCTGCGAAGAAACTTTTAATGGAAAAGTCACCAATAGGTAAATAACGTAAATTCGTGTCGAAAAACCACGCATTCTGAATACAATACCACAACTCGCAGAGAAGTTGAACAAAGGACTTTGTCTTGCTGCCAGTTCGAATACATTTAAGATTACGAAGCTTTGATTAGAACTGGGTAAATATATACGTTGAAATTTAGTTTAAGGCCATAAATTAAATTTTAATCGATCGAACTATTCACACTTGGTTGTATCTGTTGCGCTCGAAACAAAACTTTCTCGGATGCACTGGAAATAAACATGGATTCGCACGACGTGATACGGAAAAAGGTTTCCTGGAAAGCGGCGGTTATCTGGAGATCTTTCTATAAATATGTTTTTTATATTTTTTAAATTGGACCGTTGACGTTTTTTCGCAGGTATTTTGTTATCTCGAATCATCTATTAGATGTATACGGTCTTATTTGGCGCTGTGTGGAGGCGCTGGGTAACTTTGTTCACATAATGGGGCACTCCAGACTTCTTTTTATCTTTTTTCCGTTTCTAGAAAAGTGAAATATTATAAAAGGAACTACTCTGGGAGAAGATAAATTAGCTCAATTTTTTCAAAATGTGTCGTTTCTTTGCTTTGTTGCTTTTGAGGCGTCGTTACGGTAAATTATTCCATAGAATAATAATTAACTGCCTGTCCAAAGAAACGGAGCTTTTTTAGACAAATTAATAACGCGCAATGAACCTTCTTTAAACGGTTTTAACTAAACTTTAAAGTTATTTTATCAGAGGTTAATTAAAACTGCCGTACTTATGATGTCATTCTATAAAAGAATTGGTTGTAATACACTTGTAAATTTGTTCTTTTCTGTTTCCGGCATTCTAATTCTTTAACACGTAAAAATTTACATTTACAGGCTTCTTTAGAATATTTTATTGAAAATTTGACAACTACTCCAACTGATCAGTGATCACTGCAATTATAACACACAGCAGAATCCAACTGAGACACTCATCACTGACAAACTTTAATAAGTGTGGAATGAAAATAAATTAGCTCTAACTTTACTGTTCAGATAACGTTCCAAGAATAGTTTTACACATTGCAGCAAGGCAAAACTACCCTTAAAGTTCTCTTTCATTGACACTGACTTTCACACACGTAATTATTCAGGTCATGGTCACTCTAGGAAAGTAATTATCTGTGTCATCAGTGTTTACAAAACACGAGAATTTAATAATGTGCACAAATTAAATTCTTACACTTATGTAGCTATTGATGGAAAACTGATTAGAATTTTTTGTTTTATCGCCTAGATTCATCTTTGGTTAATACGAATATAAGCGACAGTGAGCTTCTCAGTGCCATTTTATCAAAAAATTTTCTCGTCATGTTTGTTAGTCGTGATTTACATAATTTGTGTCTATTTATTTTATAAACCCTCTTTGCACGTTAATCAAAAAACTTTTTTATGTTTTTTTGTTCTCATTTCTCATTTTTTAGTAATTCTAAGCACGTTTTCTTATTTTCTCTATGCTTCGTTTCTTTTTTGATCGACTAAACTGGAATCTTCTTAATTACGCAAAAAAGAAAAACTCTTCCGGTTTTACCGGAAGTGATAAGAAAAATGTGAGGTTGCCATCACGTAGATATTTTAAAATGATACAAATTTGCTCACTAACCTGCAGGTTTGTCTTTAAGAATAAAAAAGTTACAGGGGTTGTGTCAAATAAAAGAGACACGCTGTATAAATATGTCCTCAGATTGAGTTTACAAGAGGAAAACCATTGTAATTTTCTAAAAAGCTGACAAAGGAAAAAAAATTGTTGCTTTGCTTAATATAACCAACCATGCAATTCAAATTGCAGAAGTATGAACATGTACTCAAATAAAAAATAAAAATTAAGTTTTCTTAAATTAAATTATCTGGATAAAAATTAATTTATTTAAAAAAAAATCTGCATTATTTTTAAGTTTTGGTAACTGAATAACCTGTTTTCAAAAAGAAAAATTTTATTATATTGACTTATTTGTAGCCGTTCTATGCTGATGCGGCTATAGAAAACGAAATTTTCATATTTACTGCATATTTTAACTCTTTTGAAATTCATGATTCTCCCATGAAAAATGAGACGTCTACAAAATTATAAAACCCGCGAAAAATTCAAAATTTGACCTTGAGGTCTAGTCAACCCTACGTTATGTCTTAAGTTTTTTATCACGGTACGCGTTCAAATCCAATATGGCACACCTCAAAGTTACAAAAGTGACTTTAAATCAAAATGCAAAACATTAAAGACAAATTCCTCCTCTCTGAAGAGGGAAAAACTATCGAAATAAGCTAGAAGGAATTTATTTCCAGCAAAAAAACCTCTCCAGCTTTCAAAAATAAAATCAAACATATCGATTGAAATATGTGACACAAATTTAAACACACCGAGATAAAAATGGTCGAAGGTTTTTTCAACAGAACTTCCCTCGCATTGAAGTGTAGTAAAACATTTCCAGATTATTCGAAAAATTATAACATTAGATTCTGAGAATTTTATTTTTTATGATATAACCCACATTAGTTAAAATAAAAAGATATATGTAATGTTAAAATAGAGGTAAACTTTTATGATGACGTCATCGACATTTTTGCAAGGACAGGTATGTCAATTTGGATAGATGCAATGTAATACTCATAACAAAAGTACTATATCACTAAATTTTCGGAAACATTGAGTTAGTCGTTCTCGATTTTATCAATAAAATAGATTTTCTCTATAATTAATTTTTTGGGTCACTCTGTATAAGTAATTCTAAAAAATATGAATCCATTTATAAACCACAAATATAGATTCATAATATTTTAAGTATTTATTTTTTCTATATTTATTCGGAAAAATTTTGAGATAAGTAGTTATCAATTTTTTGGAGGGGACAAACAAATATATTTGGATTAAAAATTTACCATGCTCATGATAACCTTAAAACGTCTGATTTTTAAGCATTCGGTTTTGCAGATTCAAAATTAAATTACAAAATGTTGGTATACAATTTAGATTTTTTTTCCAAAAATCTGAATGTGTCGGGTAAAAACTCAACACGGATTCGTAAACTACAGGTGTAGGAGTATGTTATTTAATATAATTTAAAACACCTTTACTAAGTACAATTTTGAGGTGAAGTCATTACGCTGTTGGTGGGGATGATTAGACTTATAAAATTTGACAACAATCGGTCCCGTAGTTTAGGAGATTATCCGTCTGACAAAAAAAGTCGACGCAGACGGTGGACAGGCAGACAAACGGAAACGGGGGACCTATTTTTTCGTACTCTAGGGTTCATGACACACCAAGGAAATTTGAAAG